TTTTTGGACACGTGTGTGCTTGGGCCCAGCACGATTTTCAAGATGCCAGGTCTGGGACCTAAACTGCAGCCAGCCACGTGGGCATCCAGGGCCTTAACCACCACACCACCTGCTGGCCCCAACAAAACAGGGCCTTTACTCTCACAGCTGCAAGAAATTGAATTCTGCCAACAACCAGTGCACTTGGAAGGGGACCCTGAGCGTTGGCTGAATCAGCCTCGCCGACGCCTCGAACCAGCCTGGCGAGACTTTGAACAGAGACAGTCCCAGCTGGACTTCTGACCCGCAGACACTGGGAGATAACAGATGGCGTTGTTTTGAGCCGCTAGGTTTGTGGTAAGTTGTTACGCTGCAATTGAAAACAAGCCTAAGGATCTGAGTTTGAACCAAATGCGAGTGCAGTCTGCACAGGTCGAAGGCAATTGTGCAGGGCCCAGCCTAACAGAGCCTGGCACAGGAAGCACTCACACACACCGCCTTCCTATTCCCCGGGCTCCACTAAACTGGGCGCCGAGGCACAGTCAATGGTTAAATGGACCTTTTTTCCCTATCACTGGCTCCGACAGCTGCCTCACTGCCCCCAGGCCCCTCCCTCCCAACACCACCCTCCTCCTGCTGTCAGAGAAAAGCACTCAGCACAGATTCACACCCCTTCTGAGGGGCCCAGGGCACAGCTCCTAAGCTGGGCTGCTTCTCAGGCCTCGCAGCAGCAAAACGCCAACCTGAGCAGACAGCAGAAAACAGTATCTCTGGGGCAGAGGCAACAGCTGCCCACCAGCCCCATACCAGCTGGCAGAGAGAGGGCAGCTGCTGAGAGAGTCCAGCAGGGCGAAGCCGCCAGGCTAGCTTATCTTCCACCCCTCCCTGGGTCTCGGTTGGTCTCGGTCTCAGTCTCAGGAGCCCACCATGTGGAACTGTGAATTGCTTCCCCAGCAGGACCCTGCCCCAGTGCAAGGGTTTCCTGTTATGTAAAAAATGCAAATCATTCTTTCTACCCAACATGCTAGTCCAGATCTCTGCAGCAGATGATGGCTGCACAGAGACCGGAAAACAGCAGGGGCTTTGACTGGGTCTTCAGGTTGGCTGACAAAGCCAGGAAAGGTCTGCAAGAGGCCATTAGAAGAAGGAAGAGCTTTGGGATCCAGGGAGAAGGGTCTTTAAAGTCACATTTTCTACAACATCTGCCGGTTGTCTAGTTCCACGAATCGTCTGCCCTACTCTCTCCCAAAACAACTTCGAAGGGTCTCTGCTGGGGCCAGGTGGGAGCAGAGCAATAATGCAACTGGCCCCATGTGGGAGAGGTTCTGGGTTCGTGTGCCGGGGCCTCTCTGAGCACACCGGGCAGGGTGTGCCCGTGACCCAGGCTGAGACTGGGAGGGTGGCAGCATGGGCGCCCTGTTGGGGGCGCCTGTCTCTCTATGTGTCTCTCTTTCTCTCTGTCACCCTCTGTCATGGAAGAAATAAACTTAACAACAAACAAAGACGAATTTCTAGATCGATTGGATTTCTAGGGTCCACACAAACCAGTTACAGAGACAGAATCTTTATTAATGTGCAGAGGTCAGATAATAGAGAGGCATAAGTCACTATTCATGTGTTAATCCATTCAACGCGACTGGTAGCGAATACCATGCTTCACTTACAGTTGAGGAAACTGAGGCACAGGCCGGTTACGTAGCTCATCAACGGAGCTGGGATTTGAACTCCGGTAAACAAATGCCTGGGCTCACATTCTCAGTCACTGTACCAAAAAACACTCAAAGATTTCTTTCTTCTTCTTCTTTTTAATTGCCAGAGTACCGTGCACTCACCAGAGACAGGGAGAGACAGAAGCGGGGAGAGAGGGAGAAAACACCCCACACGGGCTATGGTCACGCCACAATCCCTTTTCTATTTTTCCGTTCCGTTGGGATTTTGTGCACACACACACATGTATCCGGCATGTTTTTCAAGCCACAGGGCCTGGGATTTGAACTGCACTGAGTCATGTGGAATCGGGCTTCCTTTACCACTAGGCTATGGAGCTGGCTCATGACCAAAGGTTTTCTGATCTTCAGCCCTGAGTTTACTGTAGTTGGTAAAAGCTCAGGAGTGGGTTAGATTAACCCCAGGTACACTCTACCTGAGGCAGGAGCCTGCACACGTCCTGGGCTCGTGTTTGAGGTGGCAGGCTTGGCAGGGCCTCCATGGTGGCCCTGTGCTTGGCTGACATGCTCCTGCACCAGGCCGCTCTACTCAGCTAGGAGCGCCCTAGGACAGGCAGGACAGGTGGACAAGTCCCCCCGCCAGCCCCCCCCCCCCCCCCCCCCCCAAGCACAGAGAGTGGTAGGAACCTTGTAAGGAGCAGAGGGGGATGGAAACTGGAAACTCGTGTTCCTAGGACCGGAGGCAGCGACAGAATACTTCAAGAAACACTGGCCCCCTCCACCGCAGCTGCTCGCCCTGAAATCCCACCAGTTCTCATCCAGCCAGTCCCTCTGCCTGCCCTGCCATGCCCTGCCCACCAGCATCACTTCCATGCCTGGGGCAAGCACATTCCATAGCCTCCTCTCCTGGGGCCCAGCCAGTTCTGACCCAAGGGCAGGAGAGAGGGACCAGCCTTTCTTCAGCTGGTGACCACCTAGTGAAGGACCCACTGGAGAAGCCACTCTGTGCTCTCTCTCCTCCCCATCCTCCTCTCCTCTTCTTTCCCTCTCCTCTCTCTGTTCGAGAACCTTGGTGGCTGGACCCAACTGAGGGTGGCTTTACACTTTCAGAGCCTCCCTGATTATTTCATCTCCCTGCTCCAAGCGACTTTTTCCTTTTCACCCCTCCCCATCAAAACCCACTCCTCCACCCTCTGGCTTCCCGGCGAGCAGGAGCAGGGCCCAGGTCAGCCCTCTCAGGCTGATGGATCACGGCTCCTGAGAGGAGGCCAGACCCACATCTCCAGGGAGCTCAGAGCAGCCTCAGCTACCTCTTACCCAAGAACTTCCGATGGTCTGGATACTCCACTTTCAGGGAGCAAACAGGAGGGACCGAGTGCTACTGCAGGGCAGGCCTCGTGGCACCTACTGTGAGCACCTACTGTGTGCCAAGCAAGCTCAAAGCAGTGTGCTAGTGCTTCATGCACCTCTGCTCCTGGGAGTTCGCTCCTCCGAGCGTATTTGCCCAGCGCCTGCTCCCAGCACGTGAGCCACCTTGGTGCATGTTTCTTAATGAGTACACGTAGCTCACTGTGCGTGCTCGACTAATGGGGGAACCTGAAGCTGAACGTTTGCCCCCAGTGGAAAGGCTTCCATTTCAAGGTGTCTGACTCGACAGCCATCACAGCACCTGCCCGCCGTCTCCGCCGTCTCCACTGGCGTGGAGGGCCGTGGGTCAGGCTCGCGGTGGGAATCCCTGCCTGCAAAAGCTTGCAGTTGCTCTGGGGAAGGAGGAAGGCTGTGCGCCTGAGATGTCTGAGGAGGTTCGGTCCTCAGTCTGTGGGTGATCTGTGACCCAGCCCGAGTACTTAGGGACACAGACGACGGGGGTTCGAGCTGGGCGTCTCCCGGGAGAGACGTGGGGAGCAGGAGGCCAGGCCTTTCAGGATGGGGGACAGGAAGCGGCAGAGATGACAGAGTGAAATCTTCTCCGAGGAAGACCAGGCATGTCTGAGGGCTGGGAGGAACATCGGGAGCAGGGATGTGGTACAGAGGGGCACGCAGGCTGTGGCAGCTGTCGAAGGCTGAGGAGGTGACACTGGAGCTAGTGGGCCATCAGGACTCTCCCAGCAGAGTAGGGGTGAGGAGATGAGGGTGAGAGTACTGCGTGTGCAACTGTGGGGGAGACCTTAGGGGCCATCACAGGAGCCCTGTAGGGCCTAGCGGAAGAAGCGGGAGCACCTGTGTTCTGCCTCACCAGCCTCACTCCCAGCTTCCAGGAGAAAGTCCCCTGAATCCCCTCCTCTCTCCCGCCCTGGCCCAGCCCCTGGCTCTCCCTCACCTCCCTCCTGATGTAAATAAAGCTGGGGGTACACAGGGGAGGGAGCAGGATTTGACCACAGCATGACCTGGAAGAGACAGGGTGGGTGATTTGGAAGGAGGGCAGCCAGAGTTCTGGAAATGCTCCTGGTGAATTGGGGCAGGGGGCGTACTAATTCCAGGTACCTCCAGGTAGGGTCTGCCTGGGCCACCATGCCCCTCACTGTCCCAGCCAAGGCAGGGACCTAGAGCAACCTCTACCTGTTACTGCCTAGGGCAGCCTTCCACTCAGCTGGAAGAATTTGGGGGACACCCAGTTTTTACAAAAGTTACCCCAAATCTAGTGTGACGTGATTGAGAGTTTGGGGGTGGTATCCCACAAAAATAATCCTTCCTCTCTCCTGCTAGATTCTTAAAATTTCAATCACTGTTCTCTATTCCTTGGCTTAAGATTTTGGACTCTGTTATTGTTTTTTTTTAATGGTGCCACTTTAAGTTGTTATCGGTTACCCACACCTCAGTAAGAGTGAGTCAATCTGATCCTTTTCCAAGAGCTGATTTTGTTGTTGCTGGAGGTGAAAGAGGGCTTTAGAATCCTGGGGTCTGGGAAGGTGGGAGGGTGGGGAGGCGAGGACTAGGATCCTGGGGCCAAGAGGGGAGGAGGGCGCAGAAGGGAGACGAAGGCTGGGGCATATCGCACACTTCTAGGTTCCGGGAAGGGTTGAGCAGAGAGCGCCTGAGCGAGTGGAGACCCCAGTACCGTCTGTCGCCACCTCCCCTGCCCACCCGGGCGTCTGGACCCCTGTTCCTGTTTCCGCATCTCCTCCCAGCAACAACCAGGACTGCAAACTTTCCAGGATACGACCCCAGCCTGTCTTCCCATTCTGCCGTCGCCACCCTCAGCGGACAGGGGCTCTCGGTGGACCCGCCGGGCGCCTTCTGGAGGCCAGGACCCTACGGGAAGGGGGCGCGCGGAGGGAGGGAGTCGGAGCGGCAGGGCCCGCGGGGCCTCGGTCCAGGGGCGGGGCAGGGGGACCCGGCCAGCGGGGGGCTCACCTGCAGGACACGGTGATCTCCACCTTGGTGGCCGGGATGCTGCCCGCCAAGGAGTCGAACTCGCTCAGCGACGCCATGTCCTCTGGCTGCTCCATCGCCCACCGCACCCCCACCCCAAATTAGTCAATCCCTGCGCGATTCACGCCTCCTCCAGAGCGACTGGAGCCCTGGGCGCTCCCCCAACTCGGGAGCCGGGGCTGGGCGGCGAGGGGAGGAGAGAGGAGCGCGAAGAGGGGGCGTGGGAAGTGAGAGGAGAAGGGCGGAGGGAGCGGGGGCTGCGAATAGAGGAGGGGGCGCGGGCGACGCGGGGAGGAGGTTGGGGGCCGGGTGGATAGGGGCCAGGAGCCCAAGGAACTGGGGCGCAGCGGGGAGAGGGCGCCGGCAGGGACGCGCGGAGTCGTGGAGAGGGCGCAGGGAGAGGGGCGTGCGCGGTCGGCGGGGAGAGGGAGTACAGGGGACCCGGGGGGGACGTGGGGGTCCGTAGGCGCCGGGTGGAGAGAGGGCGGCGGGGACGGCGGGGCGCAGGCGGCGTGGAGCCTGGAGCGCCCGGGCTGCGCCGCCTCTGGCTGGATCTCGGCGCGGGCGGTGGGGCTGGGATTTGGCCGCGGGGGGCCACTC